TGTGAACGTTTTTGTACCACGTTTAGTGAATATTAGTAGTATGAGTGTTCTGATTATTAGCGATGGAATTTGATAACATGGTCCTCACCAGGCCTCTCTATAATCTCTTGGCGATTATGAATCATGTATAGTTAAGAATGGAAGACTGTCGACTGAGGGGCTCTGTCCTAAATCCACAACCACACAAGGAACAGGAAATAGAACGGAATCACGCACTCTAAACCTTTAGAATCTCAATTATATATGACCGTAATATCTACACTAAGCCATCGTAGCTCACCTGCAAAGACCCTTGGTTTTAATACGAATGATATGTCTCGTTCGGAAGAGAGAGTAATCTATAATTATTGACTAAAGCCTTTGAATATCTTTATTGGGAAAACGTACCGCTGCTCACAAGTGATTCCAGAAGGGTCTCTCCTACGGCGATCATCAGTACGTTTCCGTCCCCGTCAGATTTCCTTGTTATTGGACAGTCCCTCCTGAAGTGTCCAGATTCATCACACTCGTAACAGGTCGGGCTCATTCTGATGTTGGGGGTCTGGGGGATTGGTCGTTCTGATGCCCTGCGGGAACGGGTAGGGTGCCCCTTCCTATTGCAATTCTTGCAGTGTAACTTTCGGCAGGCTCCATAGTGATGAAATTACACTTGTTACACTTTAGGAGGGTTCCAACGTATTGACGGACCGGTGTCGGTGTGGCAGGTGTTGTGGCAGCACGAACCGCAACAATCTGTGGCCTCTTCAAGGGCTCTTGTGTTGTTTTACTCTTCCTCTCTTTCCGGGATTTTCTTTTCTTGCTCTTAGGTTTGTGGTCGGGGGTGTCACTATAGGCAGCCCCTCGTTGGTGCCCTTGGTTATTTCTACGATTGGAGTTGTTGATACCTTTTCTGTGTTCATTTCCATTTGTGTTGTTAGCGTTGAGTTGTGCCATGACGGCTATCACCGCAGCTGTCACTGCAGCTTGGAAAGTAGCGGAGTCTATCCGTAGGATCGGTGTTTCGCCGGTTGGCTGGTTGTTTCCATGGGAGGACATAATTATGTTGCATGAGGAGAAACGAGCGTGTGAGTAACCAAGGCCAGTTCTAGTTGTATCCATCTATTTATATTCACATATAAATTTCATGTGTGGTTGTACGATTCTTAATGCTTCGACCTACATCTCGATGATGTATTTATGGTAAAGAGTAGAAATAGATATTGTACGAATGCTAAGTTTATCATAATAGAATATGGATATCAATACAATTAGTGAATCTGGATTGCATGGATTCTTGGAGGGCGCACCTCTCTTGATTTACGACTACTAGTTGTAACGAAGACATAATAAACCTAAGACATAGTGCGTGTAGTGTAGTGACTCTCATATGCCGAAGTGGCGCACCAAGAGCCCAACCATTTCGCTCATTTCATGAGTGGTCTCTTCCGCCCTCTGTTCTGCTAAGGCTGCCCTAGCCTTAGCTTCAATGAGTTGTTGCCTTAGGGCGATCACTTCCTCCTCTAAGGAGTGTAGACGGTCGGTGGGGTCCTCCTGCTCTGCGGCCTGGATTGGTATTGCTCCCGATGGGTAAGGCTCGCTAAGGATTCATCTGGCACCTTCATCCTCGTCTGACTCCTCATCGGAATTGTCTCCCTCGTAGTCCATCTCCAGGTACTCTGCAGGACCCACTTCTAGGTTTTCTTCATGAACCTCTCCTGGTTCTTCCTCGATCCATTCGTTGGCCACTACGGTAGGGTAATAGGGGTCTTCGTGGTAAGATTCAGCCATGTTGCATGTGCGAGAATAGAGGTAGGAGATACATGTAGGAGGTTTAAGTGTGGAGGTCATATGGTATTCTAAAGTCCTATTATAGCATTACATGTTTGATCCTAGGGTTTCCTGGTGTACGAAATCGATAAGTTTTTAGACTTGTTGTTACTGTTTGGTATCATAAAATACTCCCATAGTATTTTAAGCTTTAGGTTTGGTTCTAATGCTCCTTTTACTACTAGAAAATAGACCTTTAATGACGAGCAAATTATGACACGCAGTGATTTATGATACGCAAAAGCGTGTGACCTAAAAATAATGTCACCTCTCTAAAAAATTTAAGGATTTAGGACGCACATTTTTGCGTGCCCTAAAATTAGTGTTAGAAAAAAAAAACACGGAGGGCACTTATTATAAAATGTGTGTCATCTAAACATGTCGCTTTATAATTTTTAATGAAACGCGCTCTTTAGTAACAAGCGGGAAAAAGAAAAACCCAAAAATTAGAAAAGCCCGCTTTCACATCCCTCTTTACCCTAATCGGCGATACTTCTTTCCCCTCCCCATATCGACCGCTAACTACTCCCCTCACACTCCGACCACCACTCTGTGCTCTTTCCTGGTCGTCGACCCTCTTCCATTGTCGACCCTCCGCCAACGTCGCATCTTTTTCAGCGCCTTCCTCTGCCATCGACCTTCTTCACCCATCTCCACCGTCTCCAACCCTCACCGCCTCTTCTTGTCTCATAGCCCTCACCTAACAACTTTGATTTGAAGAAATTTAAGGAAGTAGAAGTTGTTCAAGAATAAATTGCAGATGAAACCCTAATAGCATTATGCGACAATGGAAGAAGACGATGGCGTTGGAGAGCAAGCGTTCTTGGTTGTTTCCTTCTCATGCTCTGTACTTTTTTTCAGGTATTTTAATCCTTTCTGTAAACCCGATCTGTAATTAGTTGTTGATACGAGTTTCTAAAAATTATAGGAAAGAGGAATCAAAAGTTCAAAAACACGTTTGTAGTTGCAGAACCCACATCCCTCCGTAAAACTTAGAATTCTATCAGAAAATCAAATATATTCAATGTTAAAAATATACGATCTGATTACCACGAATAAAAGGCTCAGTTACCAGTTACTGGGTGACAGATATATATATTTAATGAGATTAGATGCGGAAAGATAAGAAGTGCGGAATAAATAAATACTGGAAAGCTATAATTGACTGAAAGCTATAAATGAAATAAATGACAGTATTTAAATGACATAAAGCTGTAATAAAATATATAAATATAGATATAGTAGGTGGGTTTTGAACTGGACTTGTGGAACGACTGGTCTATAAAGTACGTTTTGTCAAATAAATGACTGAACGGCTTAAGGTTGGACTGGATCTTAATAGACTGTGTCTCTATTTGTTCAATGTTCAATCAGGTATAAGTAACATAAAATTTATTCAAAATTCTGTTACTCGATTGTTTATACAGTAAGACAAATACACTGGTTTTTATGTAATTGTATTTAAGGTATTTCTGGTTGTTTCGAAAGGTTGTTGTTGGTAAGGTAGGTATGTTGTCTTGGTTGATTTGGGTATGGGTATTGGTTGATTTGGGTGTTGGTATGGTTTGTTTTGGGTGTTGGTATTGGTTGTTTTGGGTGTTGGTATCGGTTGTTTTGAAAGTTGGTATTGGTTGTTTTGGGTGTTGGTATCGGTTGTTTTGAAAGTTGGTATTGGTTGTTTTGATGCGAGAGAGGTGTTTGGTGGTGATTGGTGTAGTAAACAAAGGTGGTATAGGCTTTGTTTGATGGGTTGAATGTGAGGAAGATGATGAATAGTGTTTGTGTTCTTGAGTTGTTCTTGAAGAAGAGGTTGTTCTTGAAGCTTGTTGGTCTTGGCTTTGGCTTTCTTCTTTTGGAGTGAAAGAGTTACAGAATATTACAATGAAAACTCTTTAAACACTCTCTAACACACACAATACACTCACATACATCCACACACACACATACTCACGTATGCTCTCTCTCTCTCTCTCTCTCTTTTTGGTGTATTTACCCACAACACTCCCACACTTTGGTGATTTTATTCACACTTTGGTGTTTTTCTCTCTTCTTCTCTCTTCTTGCATGCATCTATATATATATGCACAAATACTCCAGGCAACTCTCATTTGTTTAAGGGAAAGTAAACATTGTTGAGGAGTGAAAGCTGGAAAGAAGTTGGAAGCATGCAAGTGGGTTTTCTTCTTTTGTGCTGTCTTTGCTTTCTTTTCTCACATCACATACACATATACACTATGCATGTGCATGTATATATATTCAAAAGTAATTTCTAGGTGGTATGTATGTTGGAAGTGATGATGAAGCTGCGAGTTTAGAAAGAAAGAAGAAACACATGTGATGGAGACTTTTGCTTTTGTTTTCTTCCTTCATATGTATATATATACGATACATGTATATATATATGTATATATATATACATATACACACAATATACATATATATAATATATATTCGTGGGTATTTCTTGTATGGATGAGTTTTACGCGGGTGTGCGCGCGGGCCGCGGGTCGGTCGCGTGCATGGCTGCTTCTTGCGATCTGAATAGCTGAAGTGAAAATCTCGATCTACGCGGGTATGGGCGCGGGTCGCGGGTATGGGTGCGGGCCGTGGGTAGGTCGCGTCTTGCGTTCTGAATAGATGAAATGAAAATCTCGATCTACGCGGGTATGGGTGCGGGCCGCGGGTCGGTCGCTGGACCTGATTAGTTTTGTGCGGTTTGTCATGCGGGCTGCGGGCTGGTCGCGGGACCTGAATGGTTTTGGTTCTGAATTTTGGATTTGATCCATGATATCCGCGGGTATGCGAGTCGAGTCGGGTTCGTGAATCATCTTGCTTTGGTTTGATTCGTTTTTGATCTTTGTATTCGGTTTTGCAAGTGGTTTGAGTTGCATGACTTGAGTCTTGAGATTCTTATCTTCATGCGGTTTGAGACTTGTCGAGTTGTGAATTTACGTCTTTGCGTTTTTTGTCATTCACGTGTTTTCGTATATACCGTTTTGATTACGTATTGATACAACCTGAAATAACTGATAATATTTGTTAGATAACATCAAAACAGTTCATCTTATTTCAGTGATGGTCACATAAAAAATCATTTTCCAACATTCAACATAGCCAAACTAAATTTCTTGGAACAACTCAATCCCATACTTACATGTTCTTACAGTGTTTTCTTCTTCTTCTTCTATGTAGCAATGATTGCAAAGGTAGCAATTGTTGTGGTGGGTGGTTTTCTAGGATGTATTTATATACGAATCAAACCACCACCTCCTAGGGTTTGTGGATCACCTGGTGGACCTCCTATTACTTCACCTCGAATCCAACTTAATGATGGAAGACATCTATCTTACAGAGAGTGGGGTGTCTCCAAAGATAAATCCAACTACAAGATCATCGTCATTCATGGCTTTGATAGCTCCAAAGACATGAAACTCCCAATTTCTTAGGTATCATGAACACTATATTCATTATCTTTAACATATTGGTCTTTTTTCTGATATATATCTTGTCATAATGACAGGAACTTATTGAAGAGCTGCAAATTTACTTTATATAATTTGACAAAGCAGGATATGGAGAGAGTGATCCACATCCAAAGCGTTCAGTGAAAAGTGAAGCATTTGATGTTCAAGAATTAGCTGGTAAGTTACAAATCGGTTCCAAATTCTACATAATTAGACTCTCAATGGGTGCATATGTTGTTTGGAGTTGCCTCAGATACATACGACATAGTTCTTGCATTTATTTAGGGTTTAATTTATTTCACGATTCTCTCAAAACATAAATCAAATTTATAGAAAGATTAAACAGAAATAGATATATCCAGATTCCATTTTGAAACCCTTTGTTTTGTTACAGACTGCAGAGAGTTTCATGGCGACGTTGCTACTCCTTTCACCTCTATCTGCTCCAACAGTCGACAACAATTGGGAGTCAAGCAGTTCCACCACTCTGTTCTTGAAATCATCTTTTCTCTGGATTACATACCGAAGCAGTTTAGGGAAGGAAACCTTAAAGATGGATGTGAGTCAGTCTCCTTTCACTTATCCACCTTTAGATTTCCTTTTCTCCTAAGTTTATAGGCTGTTTTCATGTCTATGAACCTTCATGTAATTTGATTCTCCATATCTTTTCGTGTATTATGATTATGTGTAGCTTTGTCTCTATTGTGACCTTCTGATCTGAAATTAATGAAACCCTAAATTGAAATTGAAACATGTCCCTTAGTGTAATTCTTCAGTGTTCTAAAAGGATTCAATTGGATTGTTAAGCTGTTAATTTTGATACCATTAGTTTTGCATATAACAAATTTCATTGTGCTACTTTAACTCCCCTTTTATTCTGAAATGGCAAGAATGAAACCGTAAATAACTTGTAACTTTCCAAACATTTTGCAGTGATGGAAAATTACAAAAATGTCCCTCAATACCTTTATGGTCTGAGTCCTTCACAAATGGACATGTTCATGACAGAATATAATCCCATAAGAAAGCAAGCATAATCCGTGACAAAGGTCTCTTTATAACTCTATTCATATTTTTCTTTATAGTTTACAACATCTACACATTGTTTTATATTTTTACATTTTTCCTTTTTTAACAGGAAATAACAATGTATTTTTTTTTAAATTCTTTATTTTTTTAATGAACTTAAGTATAATTTTGGTTGTTGTAGATTGTTCCTGCAGTGACTGAGCTTCTTATTGCTCAATTTATGTGGTTGGATTATGATAATCCAGCTAAGCCTATTTATCTTTACATTAATTCATCCGGAACACAGGTGATTTTTTTTTGTTTCTTTTAAGGTTAAATTACTAAATACAAGAAATAAGTCAATAAAGATTTTGATTTTTTTTCTTTTGTAGAATGACAAAATGGAGACAGTGGGGTCTGAAACATAAGCATATGCCATTGCTGACATCATGGCTGTAAGAAATCAAAATCTTTCATTTTATCTTTTTTAGGTTATTTACTAATATGATTTATTAATTTCCGAAATTGCCCTCAAGTACTGCAAGTCAGAGGTGTATACAGTCAACTGTGGGATGGCATTTGGTTAAGCAACAATGCTATTGTCTCTTGGAACCAAAGGGTTTCGTGCATTGCAGCCGAATTGTTCGAAAGATATGACTTGACAAAACTGCAAGTCAGAGGCGATTGACAGAACAAGGTATAATGGTAAAATTAAGATTGCAATTGATGTTGCTGCTACAGATTTCTGCATAGGTAATCATGATTATCAACTGTCATTCCTCTCATATGCTCTCAACATTGGCTGCATTCAAGAAATAACAACATACTTTCATCAACTTATTTACAATATCATTGTACTTTTTTTTCTTAAATTCTCCCTATTACAAGTTTGAAAAATCTACCTAGTTATAGGCATGCCATTGAAATATAAAGCAACTTTCTCTATGATACCTGAGTAAATATTCATGTGATTGATTAGTTGAAATTTATATTTATTTTCTTGTATTAGGTACAAAGTACGATTTGGATTATAAATCTCCTAATAGATCAGGACAAAACTTCAAGTCAGGAGAAGATATGGTTGAGATGTTGAAGAAGGTTAGCACCATGTTCTGAAAAATAAATCATAAAATTGTCTTGAGGTTTATTTAATGGCGGTTGATGGTTTTGTTTTGTTGATGGAGTTTAGCAATGGAAAGATAGTTATGACATTGGGGGAGGATACAATCTCAACTCAATAGCAAATTCAGTACTTTCTTGTGTATAAGTTCTATTAGAAGACAAACATATTTTTGACCCTTTGAGATTTATCCATTTGTCTACTATTGGAATGATTATTTGTATGACATTAACTTTTGTGCAATGGATTGTATTTTTTGTATATGGTATTTTATTTTCTATTATGAGACATGAAATGCAAATTTAATTTGAAAATTAGTAAATCTATAACTAATTTTTAAAAAAAAAATTAAAATTAAAATTACGATACGCAAAAATGTGTGTCATCTTCATTTATGACATGGCCTTTCTTGACAGCGGCTTTAATGATACGCATTGCGTGTCATAAATACGCGCCGTCTATAGATGACGCGCAAAAGCGTGTCGTCTCTCGTTATGACAGGGCCTTCCTTGACACGCATTTGCGCGTCGTCTGAGCGTTTTACGACACGCATTGCGCGTCGTAAAAGGTTGTTTTTTCTAGTAGTGTTTGCATGCAAAGTTGATATGTTTTAGACTCGTTGCAACACTCGTATCTCAAATAAATATAGTTGATCAGGCTATGTTTATCACAGATATGATTACATAACTGTCCAGGTTTTACTGTAGTGTTCAACATCTAAATACTCTTGTTTTGTTCTTATTATTATACGGTCCTGGCAAGTAGGTATACTTTTAGAAGATACTTATATCCTTAAGGTATACTTTTAGTCAGAGTGTTTTAGTCCCATTGTATTTATAGTTGTATATCTTGTATGGTTAGATATACTAGTTCACTATAAACAATGCTCCGATACAAATCTGTCACACCCCCAAACCAGAACGGCGGAAACGCCTGGGGGCGGATGACTTCATGTACAGTATCATAACAATTGAATATGAATGAAACATAGCAACCAAACATCATACATTACAATATACCAACATTCATTGTTTTACAAATTGTACTTGCTTAACAATTACACAAAAATAAAATAAAATATGGTTGCTAAAAAGGTAGTAAAATAATCCCGATCCAAGGCTCGAGTACTTGTTCACTAAGTCCCTGAGAATACAACTCGTTTTGAAAAGTGTCAACATAGAATGTTGATGAGTTCATAAGCATGTTTGAAGGAAAAACTTTGTAATATTTTTTCTTATAATAAGTGTAAAACTTCAGAAAATCCAAGTTATCATGTCTAGGTGTTTTCAAAAAGTTACAACCTTTAAAACTTACATCTAAACACAAGTATAAGCACTTTTCGTAAGTTAAAACAATTTTCTGGTTTTTGGCTTTTCTGTCCCTGTTCTTAGAAAAATTATAGAAAAATCATCGTAAGTCAAAATTTGGATCCGTAAACTCTGGAAGTTTTTAAATTGAGTCTAATTTGTTCGAAATTTTTCTCATAATTTTAATGGCCTCAAACCAGTGTGAAATTGGTCATCTTCACAGACTGGTCCGAGATTATTCCTGAAATGATAGGCAGTTTTGTAAAAATCGCCAAAAATTATAGAAAAATCGTATGAATGCATGAGAGTATTCATTTGAAAGGTATAAATCTGAACTTGTTGTATGTAAAACAGTTTTGAAAAATATTACATTCAAGATGGCCAAAACAGTCCGTGAATGATACATAACTTTTCTGTTGAAAGCTGTTGGTTAAGTTTAGGTTATGCATGTTTGAATACAACACTCATTTTTGCTATATTTGAGTATATAACCCACATTTAAAGGTTTACAGGTAATATATATGATAACACATACTTTTCTCATGATTTTTATGAGGATCTATGTGATAAACTTCATGTTCAAGCAAAAACCCAAAAGTTAAACATACAACACAATGATCCGTGCAATTATCCAATGGTTAACCGAAACTTTGACTTGTATCCCCCCCCCCCTGAAGAGTATTAAAACATGAAAAATAGTGGGTTATGAAGCTCACCTTGAGGGTTTTTTGAGAGGTAGATGAAGAAGATGAAACTTTGAACCTAGCTTGAGTTCTTGGAGAGATCTTGAAATGGTGGTGGTTCTAGGAGTTTAAACACGTAAATGAGGTGGTTATGAGGAATAATCTTAGTATAAGATGGAAATAGAACATCTTGAGAGTGATATACACTTACCAAATCTATGATCTTTGAAGAAACCTTCTTGAACACCCACTCACAATTCACGATTTTTGGATAAGAAGAGAGGGAATTGCTTGAGTTCTTAGGAGGATGTAAGATAAGTGTGAGTTTTGAAATGAAAAAGTGGAGAGATGTGGTGGTGTGTTCGTCTCCATATATAGACAAAGAGGAGAGAGACACTTGTCTTGATATATGGTGGACAAACTTTCTCCTCCTAGAGATATGTTAGTTCATACCTAGATATATGCTAGGTAAATATGAGGTGTCACAATTTGAATTAATACCATCCTTTTTTTTAATAAATGGGCTAACCAAATCAAAGGGGTTCTCGGCCCACATGATGGCCCAAAATGGATGGTGGGCTTCGAACTTGACTTGGCCCAAGGAGTTTTCGGCCCAATAATGTTCTAGGAAGGGTATTGGCCCAAATAAGGGGTTTTCGGCCCAAAAAAGAACCCAAGTATGAGTTTATGGGATTTAAATGAGAACTTTTGGCCCAATAAGGGCCCAATAGTGATCTTACGGCCCAATTGGAAGCCCAAAGGAGGGTTCTCGGTCCAAAAGACCAATTGGAAGGGTTATCGGCCCATTAGGGCCCAATCAGGGAGTATGGGTCCAACAAGAGGTTTGGACTGACAACTCTTGGGCTAAGACCCAAAGTTGAGTGGAATTGACTTATTAGATTGAGTTTCAGGCTTACATGAGGTTGTTTCGAGTTAAATATTAAAGTATGGAAATATGAATCTTAGTAGCATTGAAGTTTGGCGTAGTGTTACAAGGTCACATGGAATGAATTGCTGTGAGCAAGTTTCACATCTTAAACCCTAATTTGCTGGTTGTGAAACTTAAGGAGGAAGGTGTTGCATCAAGAAGCATAGTAGTGGAAGCAAGATTATGGATCTTGGATCATTACCTTCTTGAGAAGCTCCAGAAGGTAAAAAGTCTTCACCTTGATGCTTTGTTTGCTTGGATCTCATTTTGGTAACCTTATGTTGTTCTTCTTGTATCAAAGTCCCATTTCATGCATGTTTGGTTTTAAGACGTTTTGAGTTGTCCTTCCAGACCCTAGGAAGGGTCCTAATCCATAAAAATGAGGTTCCTTTAGCTAGTTTGGCTCCATGCATCTTGTAGAAGGTCTTACTGGATTAAGACCTTGTGTTAAGGACTTTATGGACGTGTAAAGTCATAAAATTGGAAACTTTATGACCCTAGTATGCCTCTGGACATTGGATCTGAAGTATGAGCTTAAGTGCTGAAGCCATTAAGCACTTAATGAAGAATCTGGGGTCGCGAGGGTATGCCCTGCATAGCTTGGTGTACGCCCCACGTACCCGGTCAGCCACCCCGATGGTGGTTTTCTGCAAAGCTTCGTGTACGCTGAGCGTACCTCCGGCGTACTCGCATGGGTCAGCCCATGTTGAGTTAACTCGGTTGGGTTGACTCAGTGGGTTTATTGATTTTGACCAGTTGACTTTGATTTTGACCAAGTTTGACCACATTTGACCAAGTTTGACTTTGAGGGTATTTTGGGATTTTGATGAATTTGGTCACTTGGTAGATGTAGGTATTGAGCAGAAAGCTGAGATTCGGAGTCGGGCCTTATCATTTTTGTTTAGCTTGTGAGGTGAGTTTTCCTCACTGTACTTTTGGGTCGAAGGCACCAAGGCCGGCCCAATGGTTTGATAACCTGATATTGTCGATATACTGAGTATGAAACAGATATGCATGCTAGTTTTGATATGTTAGTTTGGTAGATCTGTAGGACTATCTGTGATACTGTCTGTTTATCTGTATATGATATTATCTATTATATGTTGACATATTGTGTGGGTTGGGTTGAGGTTGTATTGCTCCGTGTTGTAGCCAACAAACCCTAGAGCAAACCGGATATGAGCTGAGTGTCGGGGAGGGCATGTCAGACTCATACTGAGGGCTCATGAGCAAACCAGTTATGAGCTGAGGGCCGGGGAGGGCATGCTAGACTTATAATGAGGGCTTAGTGGTATTCAGTTTGCAGACTGATCAGGCCGAGGAGCAAGCCATACATAAGCTGTGGGCCCCAAGGGTAAACCATACTTATGTTATGGGCTCAGGGAGCAAGCCAGACATAAGGTGTGGGCCAAGGGCAAGCCAGACTTGTGCTGTGGGCTCAAAACACAGCTCTAGAAAACTCAACACCTCCACATAACTCTTCTGCACATAATAGGATCAACTGGATGTCTCCCCGAATACACCCGATCTTTTAGAATGTGCGTTACGTATTCCACCTGCGACATGGCCTTAAACTTGGCCATCGAACCACAAGAACCATCTAGTCTCATATATCCCATCACTTCAACACATAGATGATTTACTGCGAACCAGAATTTACTTTCCTTCAACAGAACCGATGAGGATATCACCATCTCCAACCTTAATCATTGATTGGCCCATAACAGATCTCTTATTCCTTGAGCATAGGAGGCAGGAAAACATAACCCCGATGCAACAAGTAACATCCCTTGCCATCGGTTGACCAATCAGCCTCATGATATAATCCTCAAGTTGATCATCATAACAAATTCCTTCTTGAGTCCCACAACCTAGACTGGCACCACTTCAAGCAAGGTCCTCGATGTCTCTGATTCAGCTAAACCTCACAGGTCTGTACCAATCATACCCAAACAACCACAAACACTCAGGCCCAAACAGTTATGGGTCTCATTCTGCATAAGCATAGTCGATAGGCTGACAACGACGAGAATGACTGTAATTACGTTAGTACTATACCACCCTATTTACCCTCCCCT